ACTCCTTGTCTCCTATGGGCTGTCCCAGGACTGCCAGCGAGAGGCCACCATACGATGTGGCTTCTCTACCTTGGACACAGAACTGTGAACCAGAATAAGCTGCTTCACCTGGTCTGCAGTTGTGCTGTTGGTGGCAGAGAATGGCCTAATTCAGAGAAACAAAGATATAGATTCTTTCCACAGAAATGGATATAGACAGGTTTGAATTGCTTGGTTAGTAACCGGTATAGACAGTGACTGTTGTTACTATGAAAAAAAGTTAGTGTGTATGGCACTAACACTCAGACATCAGTCAAATGGGCAGGAAGGCTGGAGAGATCCCACTCCCATGACTCAGACCTCACCCAATGGGCAGGAAGACTGCAGAGATCCCACCACAATGACTCAGACATCACCCAATGAGCAGGAAGGCTGCAGAGATCCCACCACAATGACTCAGACATCACCCAATGAGCAGGAAGGCTGCAGAGATCCCACCACAATGACTCAGACCTCACCCAATGGGCAGGAAGGCTGCAGAGATCCCACCCCAATGACTCAGACATCACTCAATGGGCAGGAAGGCTGCAGAGATCCCACCCCAATGACTCAGACATCACCCAATGGGCAGGAAAGCTGCAGAGATCCCACCCAAATGCCAAGGTATGGGAAGTCTGTTTCTTGAGACAGTTTCTCACTCTGTAGCCCAGGTTGCCTATGAACTTGTTTTCCCTTGACTACCAGATGTGTAGGTAGCACATATGACCTGCATTTGTCTCCCCACCCCCACTTTTTTTCCTTAACAACCTGTTCTCTGGACTGGGCAGAACATGTTCCTGCTAAAAATACAAATGACTGTGATACATTTGTACATTTACTCATTCAACAAATATTTACTGGCTGTTTGGCTCTGCAGCAAAGAGTGCGCAGACCAGAGAAAGAGCAGATTGATAAGGGTACCTGATAATGGACTGTCTTAAACTTACTGGAGAAAAAAGTCACAAAATTATGAATTTTATTCAGCGTCTTGTGTGTGTGTGTGTGTGTGTGTGTGTGTGAGAGAGAGAGAGAGAGAGAGAGTTGAGACCAGTAAAATTACTTTTAATAAACCAAATATTAAGTCTATTGTTTTAAACTTTTTTATGTACATAGTGTTCCCCTTGCATGTATGTCTACATGCCAGAAGAAAACACCAGATCTCATTACAGATGGTTGTGAGCCACCATGTGGTTGCTGGGAATCGAATTCGGGACCTCTGGAAGAGCAATCAGTGCTCTTAACCTCTGAACCGCGTCCTCAGCCCCAAATATTAAGTCTAAACATTGCTTCTCTCATCTCTCTTTTATTCTTCCATAAGTCACAGCCACAGAATCCTTTTGTGTGACTATACCTGGGCATGGCAGCATGTCCCTGTAATTCTAGCACATGAGAGGTAGACAGAGAAGGCTCAGGAGTTCGTGGGAATCCTTAGCTACGTAAACAGATGGAGGCCAGTCTGTGCTACATGGAACCTTGTTCCAGAAAACAAAACATAGACCATAATTTAGTATTGTAAACACTAAATTTAATAGGTAATCCCAGATCTGTGGAAGGATTAAGAGTTTGAAACTAGTCTGGGCAATATAGCATGTCTGAGCTATCAGTCTGAACTACATAGTAAGACTATGTTTTAAAAAAATGCTGAGTATAAGCAACACTCAATGCAAATTAAAGAGATCATCCAAGTTACTGACACTGTGCCTCTTGAGAGTCCCAAAGCTCAGGGATGGAGGCTTCCAGCTGTTATCACGTGGCTAGGATGTGAGCAAACCTGGAAATGCTCATACAAAGGGTGTCTCACTGTCGGGAACAACGGACTCGCAGTACATTACACAGCTCTCCCGGTCTCAACATCTTACCCCCCCACCCCCCCACCCCGCCAATGATCCCTCAAATCAGCACACCAGTTCTGCATCCGTTGGCCTACAGGAAAGGAGACCTAAGTCTTAAGGTTCTAGAACACGTGAGGGAGGAAGGGGTCCTGGGAACCTGCCTCTTCTTCACCACCCACCTCCCATCTGGTAAGGGCCCTCAGTTCTCAGTCCTGGAGATTAACTTCTCTGGTGGAGACTATCACAACACAGCACTTCCTGTACTCAGTACTTATCCCAGGAGAAAGGCCAGGTTCTTCATGCTAATGGATTTTGAGTTTCTTTCTCCTCTCTCAAACCTTCTTTCTCTTTCTTTCTTTCTTCCTTTTTTCTTTATTTTTTTTTTCTTTTTTCTTTGTGACAGAATTTCTTTCTGGAGCCCTGGCTGTTCTAGACATCACTCTGTAAACCAGGCTGACCTGGAACACACAGAGATCCACCTGCCTCTGTGTCCTGAGTGCTGGGATTAAAGATGTGCGCCGCCACACCCAGTTTTTACCCCCAACTCACACTGCTTTTAGGAAGCAAAACAGCCTGGGTTTTTTGAGTTCCTGTTTTTCCTGGCCTCTTATTTATCTTGGCGTTATCTCATGAACTCTGGACAGACACCTCTGTGCACAGTTCCCTGAAAGTGAAGACCAGCAGTGAGCGTCACACATCCAAATGTAAGTGAATACATAGTTGGGGAACACAGAGTCCAGTCTCTTCTACTATGATTTCAACATGCAGCTAGTTCCCATGACAGAAGCTCAGAACAACACATTCCAGGATCTCCTCAGGTGTGTCTCATCTTCAGCATTTGAAATTTAACTGTAGAACACTTAAACTTAAAAATTAACTTGATAGGATGTGATCTTTTGGCTTTCTGTGACTTGAAAATTTCACCCCCATAAATATATGAGGAAGGGCCTGTTCCCCATTAAGGATAATCTGGAGAAGGTGTCTTGTTAATGTTTGAAGAGAAAAAAACATGAGGGGAGAAGATGGTCCACTTAACTAGCCTTTCCACCATCACTAGAGTCCTCTTGGCTGCAAAGAAAAATACTCGACAACAATCAACAATAACTTTACTCCTTCCATTTTAAAATACCATCAAAAGTAGGGTGCCGTGAAACAGAAGAAAGTACTCAGTCTTCCTCCGTAAGTCTGGTTGCTTATTCTCATCAGCAGTTCCTATCTCTCACTTTAATTCCTTTTCCATAAATAGATTGATTACACACGAACAGTTCTGAATACCTGTTGTGCACACTGGTCCAGGTGGGAAAGCGGCTGTTGTGCCCTCTTAAAGCTGCCAGTCACAGGATGTCAGCCCAAATCCCCCAGGTGGTGTTTGTACAGATAAGATCGTTATGAAACCTGTCAACTCTCTATCTCAGCTAAAGGGAGGGCAGTCCCCTCAGGGTTGGTACAGGACACACCCAGGACATCAAATTCTCAGCACAGAGGAGATTTGCTACCTAGGAGTTGCAAGTGTAGGCAGGGCTGCAAAGACAGGCAGCAAGCCTCAACAAGCAAGCAAGCAAGCAAGCAAGGAGCAAGTGTTTTTTGTAGGAGTTGGGTTTTTAGGGAGAGAAAAAGGGAGTCTGTGCTAGGGTGAGTTGGTAAATCCTGATTGAACATATTAGCCAAACAATGAATTTTAATTGTTGGACCTTGGTGGCTTGTCTCAGGAATGAATCTGTGGCCAAATAAGGGAACAGACCTTGGGGGCTAGCTTTAGGAATGTGATCTAATAGGTTTTAGCAAGAGGGAGAAGGGTAAAAGGTAAAACCCTGAGCAGCGCCAAGTTTCCCATGCTCAGGCCTGAGAGAACCCCTTCAACTCATTTATAAAATCTGTTGACTATTTTGTCCTGTCTGGATCCCAGAGACTCCATAAAACCCGATTCCCAATTGAGTTTGCTGCCACTAATGGCCATGACTCCCTTGGGTTGCATTTCCTCTGAGCATGCTACAATACAAGGGAAGAAATGGAAAAGCAGGAGACAATGCACTTAATTTAGAGAAATTCTTGAACCGTGTTCTAAAGACCAGATTTCATTAGGAGGAAGTTTTCAGATGGCATTTGATGGAGAAGGAAGTGGGAGCCAAAGGGAGGGGCATAGACTTTCACAGCCAGCTTGTGCACGAAGGAGGAGAGAAACGAAACTTGCAAACAGAAGCAGACAATTAAAGCTCCAGCAAAGAAGGGGAGAGAAGCAGATGCAGACAGGTGCAGATTTCTGTAGACGAGAAAACCATGGGTTTAGCCAAAGTCATCAGTAAGGAGAGGGGTAACTAGCGGCTGATGAAATCGATTGGGGCCGTTGGTTCGAACTGAGTTCCTTCACATGAGCTCCACATGGGGTCACTCCAGGTGACGATCTACACTCCCAAGGAAGGCGACAGCCAAATGGACACACAGGCCAGCTTCAGATGGCCAAGACAAGGCTGATTCCACCCTTATGAGCGAGGAAGGTGTGGGCGAGGAAGGTGTGAAACGATTAATGTGTTCTTTTCTAGCCCTGCTTGCCTGAGCCTTTCATTCTCTACCAAGTTTCTTCGTTCAGTGCTTCAGACCCTCGTCTTGTGACGTCTTGCGTGAGTGCCGCACAAGTCTAGCGTCACAATTCAAAGCTAGCTAAGATCTTTAAGTGGACAGTAATTTTGTCTGTAGACATAGCCGACCTAGTCTGGTACATCGGACCTGGTTTCTAAGTGTTTCACATTTACTACAAATAGTTAACATTCACAAGGTATTTCAAAGGTACAGCCACTGTTCTAAAATTAGTCCCCATGTTTAAACCTAGCAACGATCCAATCAGCAATGCCCTAACTATTGTTGTACACAGTTTGTAAAGGTCTCGAAGCTGAGAAGAGATGAAGCGGAGGATTCCAGCCCTCACAGGCTGGCTCTGACCCTAGCCCCTAACCCTGCACAACTGTTTCCTCAGAGCGTCTGGTCGATGTCGTAACAGTGAGCTCTCAAGTCCTCAAGTTTCTTTTCCCTTGGTGTGTAGGGGGAAGGGCCACTCCTGGCCCTTGGAGGGAGGTAAGTATGAGGTGCTGCCTGTGAGTCACTGTGATGTGCCCATCTTCCTTGGATCCGCTCATAAGGTCATTTACTCTGTCCCCTCTCCAGAAGTCAAGTGCAGAAGCTAGCGAAGGGCTCTGAGGCCCTTGAAGACGGGGAAATACTGACATAAGCTAGCTCAGTTCCCATGCCAAGCCCTCGGTTAACCTTCAGTGTTTTCAAGAACTAACCCGCTGACTTATCAAACGGCTGATGTTCAAGAGCTATTTCAGTAGTCATGATTCACCCTCACTCCCTGATCGATGCGATGGCTGAGGTCAAGGACAACGAGCCTATCAGGTGATGTTTATCAGGGTGCTTTCAAAACAAGCTGTCATGAACAAGAGTTGGGACTCCTTGTCACAGTCAAATATAAAGGAGAACCTCAGTGGGGGGGCCAGAGAGATGACTCAGCAGTTGAGAGCACGTACTGCTTGCTCTTCCAGAGGATCTATGTTCAATTCCCAGCACCCAAGTCAGGTGCCTCCCAAAGGACTGTAACTCCAGCTCCAGAGAGATTGGACTTCTTCAGCCCCCGCTGGCACCTGAACTCAAGTTCACGCGCACATGCACACGCACACGCACATGCACACACTTTAAAATAAGTATTTAAAAAGGAGACTCTCAGCAAAACAAGAGAGGCTGGGTTTGTCTTCTTCAAGACCAGCAACCTGGCTAAGGAGGAAGCGCCACACTGTTGAAGACTACGTGCTCTCTGCACGGAGCTGGTGAAAGAATGAGTCTACTGTCATCCTGAAACTGGGCTGGGGGATCCCCAAGACCAAAGTGGATTTCCTCATATTCTGGCTGTCTCTGTCCTCAGGCTCCCAGTTGCAGAAATGTTGATGAGACTAGACCCCCAGGTTATGACAATGCAGAGCCTTCTGAAGACCAAGACCCAAATATAAACTCACTATGCTCAGGGTTTGTTTAACTAGCAAGGCCCTGGCCCACTGGGCTCCAACTGAACTCCCAATCACTCCAGCTGTTGAGGGTGATGACCCCTGGGGGAGGGAGGAAGAACAGAGGGTGTGGGCAGAATGGACACTTGCCAAATTCCCTGGGGAGAGAGATGCCCTTCTTCCCTCATCTCCCACCATGCACCACGGTGCACACTGTCATATGATTGTGAAAGGCAAGGAAGAGGCTATTTGATGACATTAAATAGGGAACTGAGAAGGGAAAAACAGATCTAAATGGAGTATGGCCATTGTCTACTTCTCCATTCTCCTACCATAAAGGTCCTAGAAAGAATGTTCTGGATTTACCTATGTCATGTGACTAAGAAGAAAAAAATCCCAGGGGTGTAGAGTCTTGGCCCTAACATTTTAGAAGTCTGTAATTATCTGAACAGAACAGAACAGGGCCCAGATGTTCCGTAAATGTGACTTGAAATGATCTTGTCTAAAATAAGGACAATTTGAAAACTCTGAGTTGAGTTTCCCAGGCTTGGCTTTTGGTCAAGTACTGCAGTTGTTTATGCTGCCAGGCCTCCAGTTTAATTTTAAAAAAGAACAAGTGACATAATCCTCCTTGTGAGTTCTGCAAGAAGCAATCGGCCACCTCGTGTCCTGAGTACTGCCCAGCGCAGATACTCAGTGCTGAGAGATCTAAAATAGTCTGCTGTGCATCTCAGAAGACAGGTATGACTTCCGTCTGCTTCAGGAGTAGCCGCCAGAGCCATGAAATCCCAGAACTGAAGTGCTCCCAGAACCTGTGAAACGCCATGGTCCTATTTCTCACTTGTACAATGAATATGCTAAACGAGAACATCTTTTAATATCCTCACAACTGTGCAAGTCCCTAATGACGTGTGCACATACAATAAAGCTGTATACCCATGGCGTTGCTACGTAAAAGAAGTCCATAAAGAATCACGCTGCACTTTAAAGTAAATAGGTAAGCATTCTTAAAGGTTTATATGACCCATCTTTTCTTTCTTTCTCTTTCTTTCTTTCTTTCTTTCTTTCTCTTTTTCTTCTTTCCTCCTTCCCTCCCTTCTTCCCTCCCCCCTCTCTTTTTCTTTCTTTTCATTTTCTTCCTCCCTCCTTCCCTCCCTCCCTTTCTCTCTCCCTCCCTCCCTCTCTCTTTCTTTCTTCCTTCCTTCCTTTCTTTCTTAAAAAGTTAGCCTCACCAGAATGTGAACTCAAAAGCGGTCTTTAGTTAGGGTTACTATTGTGTGGTGAAACCCTATGGCCAACAGAAACTTGGGAGGGGCTTATTTGGTTTACGCTTCCATAGCACGTTTTTAAGATACAGATAATATCTCAAGCAGATTCCATTGCCTTTTTAGGTCCCCAAACATTCTGTCACATGAGAAGCTAGGAACTGTTTGGGACTGAGGCTTTAGTTTGGTGTCAGCATGTGCAAGGCCTCCGGCTTAATTTCTACCAATAAACACGGAGTTCAAAGCAGTTTGGAACCAAGGTACTGAGACCCCAACTTTATGCACCCAAAGTCCTAGCTCAGGGTTGCTTTGTGCTTGAAAGCATCCGGGCCCCGGCCCCCCCGGTCTGAGTGTCTTTGACTTCTTTTCTCTTTAATCAGTTTCCTTTATAATTTGTAAATGTTTTTAGCCTTCTCAGGAGCACCCGGGGAGGAATAATGAGGGAGACCGGACACAAAATAGCAGCCTCTTTCTGCGGTGAGGCTTGTTAAAAATCACCACACTCTACCTCCCACGCTGGGATCGGCGCCTCTGCATGGCGGTCCTCTTCTTTAAGTAGGCCTTCAATTCCAAACTCACCCTTCTGATCGAGCCCTTTCTCTTGGGCAAGATGAATTTCAAAGATGCTACTGGTTCCTACTGACACTTGCTCCTGAGACACTTTACTGGTGAATGATCTCACTTTGAAATCTTTCCCTCGTGACTGGAGTTGGGAAAAGCATCCTCCTGGTGCAGAAAGGGGAGAGATCTTCTTCACGGAACGTAAGGGGGAGAGGCCTCCGCCGCGGACTGACTTCAGCATCTTCTCCATTAGTAAGATTTCTGTCCTCCCTCCTCACACACAGCTCACAGAGAGTTCTCTCTGTGATAAGCTCTCTGTGATAATTATCTTAGATAATTGGCTGATTCTGTCAAAAATAGGTCTTGTCTTTCAACATGTTCTAATGGAGGGCTCTAGTAAACCCAATGTGTCATGAGGAGGTGTTTGACACTTGCTCCTTTTTCCTTAAATCAGATTCTAAAAATGCTGAGCCTCTGAGCTTGGAGGAACTTAGATGTCTCAAAGAGTCATTTGTTTTCAGGTATGGCCAGGATTTCATAAGAAACATCTCTTTGGCTCAGGTTCTATTTAAGGAGTACTGGATTCAGTGGTGTTTGCTCTAATCCAAACATTTATAGGAAAAAAATAAGTTTTATGTCTAACTCTGAGTCTCACTAATTCCAACAAATGAGGGTTATTTTTGTTTTGTTTTGTTTTGTTTTTTGTTGTTTTTTTTTTTCGAGACAGGGTTTCTCTGTGTAACAGTCCTAGCTGTTCTGGAACTAGCTCTTGTAGACCAGGTTGGCCTTGAACTCATAGAGATCCACCTGCCTCTGCCTCCCGAGTGCTGGAATTAAAGGCATGTGCCACCAGCACCCAACGGTTTTTTTTTTTTCAGAAGGAAATAGAAATAAGATCTAGTAAAATAAAAACAAAAAGAGTATTTTGAGTTGACTCAGGCGATGAATTCCATTTACTCAGCTTTTAGTTTTTCCTCCTGTATGAAGTCTGACAATAAATGGACCTTATTGTTACACTCATTCCACGGTCTGCATGGTGGCTTAAGGAAGCATTCCATAATACAGTTTCCTCTTTGTGGAGACAGAAGAGGAATGGTTTCATCCAGGAAACTCGCTCTTTCTGTTAGTGGATCTCTGTGTGACGAGAGTGTGTTAGAGTCCCCTGGCTGGGGACCACAACAGTCAAAAATGTAAGACGCTGTTATTCACAGTCTCTACCAGATAGGATCACAGGGCCAGGCATGTAAACCACTGAGGATTCCACTAACACACCAATAACGACTTCACCGTGTCCCGCAATGACCCCTTTTGACTCGAGACGCATAACTAACTTCACTCCTAAAAGCAGCCTGAGATCAGCTTGCTCGCTTATTATCCATCCAATTATTAGAGATAAGAAACAAGCGGTACAGCCCAGCAGGTTCAAGAACAATCCTCTGAACACTACTCTGCCACCAGCATTTCCAGAAATTTAATGGATGACTGAATGCCAGGGGCCAAAAACCAAATATTTAGCTGTATTTTATGTGCACTGGTGTGAAGGCGTCAGATCCCCTAGAACCGGAGTTACAGACAGTTGTGAGCTTTCGTGTGGGTGCTGCCAATCAAACGTGGGTCCTCTAAGAGAAGACAGTGCTCTTAACCGGAAACAGGAAATCCATTACCCCGAGGTCACTATTACTCAGTCAACGGTTAGTCTCTGCAGTGTCTATGCACCAGTTCGCAGACAAGCGGTTCTCAACCTGAGGGTCCCGACCCCCACAGGGGTTGCAAGTCAGATATCCTGCCTATGTGATACTTTCACAGACTGACAAGCTCATTCTGACACTGCACTAAAAGGAAAACTGTGAAACTGAGTTTATTTAAATGATGCTTAAGTGAGAGAAACAAGAGCAGCTTAGACATTTCCCCCTCTCCTTGGGAAATAGCGTGACCCACAGTGGATGCTCAGTGGTGTTGGCCCTAGCAATAGCACAAGCATGAGAACAAACATGTTCAGAACAGGCAGGCCACGTCACTGCAGCGCCAGCTCCAGAGTCAATTCTCCAGTGACCCTTTGTAGCCGCCCTGTGTAAGATCCCGGAAACTGTGCAGCCTATCACCCTGGTCCTGCCCTCGAGGGACGTACCACTGCCACAGAAACAGATGTGTTTCTGTTACCACCCTCTATCATGATAAGACCTTCTCTGGGCGTTCTGTTGACTCCGGGAGTAGCTAAAATCAAGAGAAGCTTTAAGAAAGAGCCTGTGTTTAGCCTGGGGTCTCAGATGAAGTGTGAATTAACCCAGAGGTGTAGGTGAGAGCAGCTGAGGGACCACACACAGGAAAGCTGGGAAATGTGACAAGGTACAGATACTTCAAACAGTTCAAGAAGGTTGACAGAAAGAGGAGAGGGTGGGGGTTGGGAAACAAAGGACACACGGAAATCCCTGAAGATGGTTTTGTGAGATGCGGTCATGAGGATCATTCTGCATCAAAGGGTTTGTGAGAACGAGGAGCTAAGTGTCAGATACGACATTTAAAATACTGGTTACGGTATGAAGAACAAAAAAGGAATGGGGGCAGAAAGAGTAGGAGGTTGCCACATTAACAAGGTGGGAAAAACACTAACCAGAAGGAGATGGACAAGAACTAATGTAGTCACCGGACATAAGGAATATGGCACAGGCCGGTGGCAAGGATAGTGCTGGGATTCTGTGATTTCAGCCACTGGAAACTCTGGGACCATTCACTTAGCAATGGCGGCAGCTGGGGAACAGATGAAGGGATGGAAGCCAGAAACTCTGTGCACATTCAGAAATGCACATTCAGAAATGCTTGTCGGAGGCCTTCTACATGGAGATAAGCAGACTACTGAACTTCGATTTTATTCTTCTTTTACTATTTTGTCCTATTGTTGTTGCCATTGTGACTTTACACAGAGTCTCACTGTGTAGCTCAATGCCTCAGCCTTTTAAGCACTGGGATCGCAGGCATATGCCCCCAAAGTCAGCCAGACTACTGAACTCTCTATGAACTCTACCACAAAAATATTAATAGAAGAATCCACAGAGGGTTCTATAAAATTGTGGTGGAAAGACAGATGCCACAAAGCCAAATCAATTTTTCCATGGTCCACAGTATTATACGCTACTTAAAGCACAGACTAGGTGACGCTGGCGGGAAAGAGCCTTAATGTAGCAAGGGGGTTATCAATGCTGGGAAGGTGGCTCAGTGGGAAGGACTGTTACCATTTATAAAGAGGTAATGGGGGACTGGTCCCATGAGGGGCGAGGGACGGCAGTGGGTCACCAGGAGACAGATCAATACGCCAGGCAGAGAGAGTTTGGGTATAGAGTTTATTTAGTGGGTTGTGGAGAAAAAGGGGGAGGGGAGGGGGATGGGAGAAGGCAAAAAGGGAGGAAATGGGAGGAGAAGAGAGAGAGGCAGAAGATGCCTCTCCAGAAGGGAAGAGAGAGAGAGAGAGAGAGAGAGAGAGAGAGAGAGAGAGAGATCCACTTGCCTTGGCAGAATAGGGAGGTTGGGAGTGGGTGGGGCTTGCCTCTTAAAAGACAAAGTACCCAGGTGACAGGCCAGGCCAGCAGATCCCAGCATTTTATTTTTCTTATAATAAAAAGGCGGGGAGTTAGGCATAGCAGATTGAAGGAATTCTCAAGACTGCTTCCTGCTTACTTGTGGGTGTCGAAGTTTTTCTTGGAGGGGGCCTGAGATAACTGGGTGCTGGTCACATCCTGAGGTGGCTGGTCGCTTTACTCCTATCCAGGATTTGTGGTGTGGAACTGTCTGGTGTCTCTTGGACCTGGCAAGGTGTTGGCAGAGCAGAGGACAAAGTTAAGTTTAGGAAGAAAAAAAATTTCAGGACCAGGGAATTGAGAGGGGGTGTATCTGACCTGTTTAAGGTGAATCTTTCAATTTGGCTCCCTGGAACTCACGAGAATTTTTTGAGTTTGTGAAAACGTAAGTTTTGGACACATACGTTGTATAAACAGCAGCATATTTATGTCAGAATGACTGTGACAGGTGTTTTTGCGCAATGAAAAGTACAGAAACTTAATAACGTGCATTTGTTCTCACACCTTTATAACTTGCAGGTACACACCTTAATAACTTGTATTTGTATATCTTAAAACACCTTTTATTTAGAACATGTTAAGAAGTTGTCCTGAAGTTTATTTGTTGAGGGTGCCCTTTTCAACCGACAAAACCTCTCAGCTGTCAAACTGCATCAGAGATCTTTGAGAAGGATAAGATTTTACTTGAGGAGTTATTGATTAAAAAATAACAGAGAACTTACTCAGTTGTCTACGTAGACCTCTCCTCAGGGTTCTCCGTGGTCGTTGAGGGTTGTATTTGCCTTTAACTGTTTAGCACCGGGCCTGCCAGGTTTTAGAAGATCCTGTGGATTAGAAAATCTGTAGGAAGACAAGCCTACCTTGGCCTGAGCAGCTAGGCAAGTTGATGCCATTTGATTCTTTGTCCACGTCTAAAGATCTTCAGCTTAGATGAAAGGCAGTTTTGTCCAGTGGTTAGCACTTTTACTTGATGAAGTAAATTGTGGATGGATGTTGTTCTGTGCCCATTTGTCTTCTGTCTTCTTTGGAGGAAATAGAGTGCTGCTGCTAGGAGCCAACCTGTCTCTCTGTTATGAAAAGTCTTTTAATAATTAAACATTTAAATGCCATATTCCACAGATCTCTGAGTATATGAAGGCTGTTTATTGGTATATATAAGTTATAACTACAGTACAGAATCTACCTGGAGAGCTGGGTCCAAGCTTGATAGTACTGGCTCTCAACATAACAAGTAAGATTTATACTTGTGAAAGACAAAGAAGAAAAACTGTTTGCAAGAGAAGCTTAACAGCAGGACTGACAATAGTGGAGAATAACTTAATATATTTTAAAGCAGGGTTGAATCACATAAACAGTATTTTTGTAAAAGATTTAAGAGTACATACCAGTTTAAAATATGAAACTTATTGTTTTCTTAGTCTGGAATGAGATATAATAAACAGATAATTATAACATTTAACAGTAAATATACACACATTTACACCAGTGAAATTTAAGTTTTATACACATAAAGCTAACTTAGGTTTATACATAAAGTTAACTCAAAAGCTACATGCACACACACACACACACACACACACACAAACACACACATATTAAACAGGAGTTGAGCGAAGTTGATGCTTTAGTAGGCAGTCAAAAGCATACCACTGTGCAAAACACACATGTAACAGAGTCAGTAAGAAAAATTTAGAAATAAAAATGTAAGTAAACCACGAGACTAGAAAAGTAAAAATGGCGACTTGGTTACCTAACCAGCCCTTCGTCACAATGGCAGGATTTGGTTACCTCACCTGCCCTCAATCAAGATGGTGGTGAGGTCATCTGACCTGCCCTTAGTCAAAATGGCAGCAGTCACATGTTGTACCTATAAACCATGTTTTCAGAGGTTTTATAGTCTATAAAAGACATGCAGGGGTTGGGGGGATGTTGGGAACATAGTTTCTGGTCTATTTCCCAAGGCAAGAGAATGAGAAAGGCAAAGACCCAAGGGCTCTAAACCAGAACGTCTTACAGATAATGTGAGGGTCGAGGACTATGTCAAGAAAATTCGAGACCGGTCAGTACAGGGATTAGGGACCCGATAGGTCCACTCCAAGTGGACCAAGAAAGGGCAAAAGTTTGAGTGGTGAGGAGCCAAATC